ATAAAAACCTGAAATTTTCTCATCATGTGGCCGAATGTTTATTTTGAACAAGAATCAAGGTTTTCTGTTGTTTGTGTTGCCATCTAGGATGTGGAAATTAAAATATGTCTAATTTGATCACTTTTAAGAAGAAATGCAACTTGACAGCGTCGACCAGATGTTTTTTAGATTTTTTTTTGTCAAACTCATATTTTATTTTATATAAAGGAATTAGTGGTCTAATGCATTTGTTTAGCACTGTGTGTATGTATATATATATATATATTGCGCAGAAAAAAATATGCTTCTGGGTGTGGATATGTCAATGGAAGCACTGATTCCAGTATAAGTAGAAAATCTGATATTGCACAGAGTTTTAAATGCACAAAATATTCATATTGTACAGGTTGAATGTGTTGACGTTATGTGTCAGTCTCTGGATGTGTAGTTTACTGGAAGTGGTTAAAGTGAAGTTAAACTTGTGTTTTAATGTCAGAGATTCGGTGTCTCCTGGAGCAACGCTGCAGAAAGACTACAAGCTGCTGCCTGTGCTGGCCAACAACCGTGAGAGGAGGGGCATCGCTCTGGATGGCAAACTGAAGCATGAAGACACCAACCTGGCATCATCAAGCATGTGAGCGGACAAACGCAGGCGGCTGCTATTAGCAGGATCCAAATATAAACATTCTTAGACCTTAAATTATCTTTTTCTTTTCTTTCAGGATCAAAGAAGGTGTGCTGAAGGAAGTGATGGGAATCATGGTTTCATACAGAGTCATGGTGAAACTCATAGTTGGAGGGTCAGTCACTCCTCTGTGTTTCCAAACTAACACAAATTTACATTCATTTGCATATTTTGCCCATGTGGTGTAAATCTGAGATACAGGAAGCTGTGACTGCCAGACGAGCCTGTCTGCAATAGAACTGAAAACCTGAAAACTTTCTCCTGAAACAATGCCGGCACAGAAGCTCCACATATTTTAGGTTCTGAGGATGAGTGTGGTGAAAAGCTGGAAGTGACACAAGGTTGTAAATTTGCTGATTTTTCACAAGTTCCACCTGGTGGAACAACCAGGTACTACAGCTGATCTATGATACATTTTCAGACACTCGTGTCCTTTATCTTCTGCCTTATTGGTTAATTTATTTTTCATTGTTTAAATTATTAATGGTAATTGGGCAATCAACTGTTGATCATTGACATCCTAACCAGCATTTTTTTTTAGCTGTTATGTCTTATATGTGAACTGTGTGAATTACAAATGATTGTCTGTTAATTTTGTCTCATGATCAAAACTCCTTTTAAAGTGTTCTGATTTTTGTCTTTGCTCCACAACACTCACAGGATGATGGGATCAAGGTGGGTTCCTGTGTTGTTTTCATTACTGGTAACTACTTTTAAGTGTAAAGTATTGGAGGTATTATTTCATTATCTTTAAGAAAATAAAATAAAAGTAACAAAATGAAAGAATTTGATTTAACATTTTCTCAGAGGAAGAAATGTGAATAGGAGAGTAAAACAAATATGTCTATATAGAAAACACACAATTGAGATAGATAGATAGATAGATAGATAGATAGATAGATAGATAGATAGATAGATAGATAGATAGATAGATAGATAGATAGATAGATAGATAGATANGATAGATAGATAGATAGATAGATAGATAGATAGATAGATAGATAGATAGATAGATAGATAGATAGATAGATAGATAGATAGATCGATCGATCGATAGATAGATAGGTTAAACTAAATACTTTTCACTTGAGCCTGCAGTAAGTATTTTTTCCAAAATGTGTGTTTTTAAGACTGTATGCATAAGATATTTCCTGTATATTCCAGCTGCATAAAGACACAGAAAAATAAGCATGTATGGTCATTTAGTTTTCGCTATAACATCAAACCTAAAGGTGGCCCAAGACTTTTTGTATGGATGAGTTCATAAGACAGTGATTAACGTTGGATTTGGTTTGTGTTGCAGTGAGGTCGGCCTGGAAGTCCCCTTCAAACTGATGCATCCTAAACCCGATGCAGGTAAGAAAACACACATTTCTGTGTTGCTGTTTTTTTTTTTTTACACAAATTTGCTGCAGAAGGCTTTGAAACATGTAAAATAACTAAACTATGCTTAGTGGTGTCTATAAATGTGCTCTTACATCAATCTTTAAGCTTGTTTTCACCTTTTTTTCCCCCATTATTGCTGCAATCAGTGAAGGACAGGTAAATGTGCAAATGTGCAATCTCAGTGTTTATTTCATCTTCTTTGACTCCAGCAGGAGTATTGGAGTTGTGAATGAGCAAATTAGTACATAAATGAATGACCATGAGAGAGTTTTTTCGCTGAGGACAGGTAATAGACGGCAGATCTGTTGTGTTTGTTGTGCCACTCAGTATGAATGTCCTCTAGTTGTCGTTGCTTTTGTTCTGTTCATGCAGCAATAGGATCGTGTTGCAGGATTCTTTTATCGCTTTCATCAGCATTCATTCTTCTTCTGTTCTGTTAGCTCCTGTTTGTATCCCCTGTGTCATCGTCATCAGTGTCAGCTTTCCTTTGTTTGTTTTTTGATATTCTGTCTCTTTGTCTTTTTCTGTTTAACACTTTGTAAACTTTGCTGGGTAATTGGAGACAACAAAAAGAGGAAGTTTTAGGTTTGAGTGGTTCCCTTCTGCTCAGGTTTAAGGTCCCATATGAGGAAAATCCATTTTTGTTGTGTTTTAAAACCAGGAGTTATACAGGCATGAATTTGCTGAAAGGGGGCACACTATGGGACCTTTAAAGTTGGGTGGAGGTTTACAGAGAAAGACATGTCGTCCAATATGAATTAACCCTGTTCAGGACTTTTGGGGCCTTTTGGACACCAGGCCATTTGGTTTAGGTGTTTTTTTTATTTTTGAAGATTATTTCTTTTTTTTAAATACAACAAGAGGGACATTAGTCATGCATTTGGAATCAAAACTACGTCAGCTTATCAGAAAATGTATTTATCATAGTATAAAAGTCTATAATGAACACCAACAAATATTTTGCACATATTCTTTCTTGGGGTTCAGTGGACCCCGAAGGACCTTCTGTGTATGGCAACATGAAAGTCTTGAATAGGGTTAAGTTATTTCAGTGACATTGCCCAGTGGGATAAATATTTCATATGAAATAGAAGTTCGTTCAGAAAACTTATGAAATTTGTGAATAAATGGTAAAATTATTGAATATTGGTTAGGTATAACTATTGAATGGTCTTGTTGATGTGGTGGAAAGTCGCTGCTCAGCTGAAGTTCACCTCAGTTTAGAGTTGCAGTAATTATGTGTGTTCTGTCAGTAAACTTTGGAAGCATCTTTGTGTTTCCCTCCATGTGATAATCCGACTGCCTGCAGCTAAACACTAACAGTCCTCGTCTAATGCTGCTGTTTGTAGTGAGGCGGAGGAGGAGATGGTGTTCCAGGAGTTCAAGCGCTCCTACCTGAAGGGGATGATCGCCGACGATGAGGACGAGGAAGGCAACGTGTCGGGTGGAGACGACATGGCGCCCAAAGAGAAATAGAAGAGAGTCGGCCGATGTGACGACAGCCGGAACAAAGAATGCTGGGAGTTTGAGTCGCCTCAGAGTTTGTTAGAAAAAGCTGAGAATGAGTCAAAGGACCATGAATGTCGCTGAGCATGTTTCATCAACTTTCAGGTGTGTTTCGCATCACTGCAGAGCAGTTTCTAAAGCTTCTGTTTGGTCGCCTTCAAGTTTTGAGTAGAAATATGCGGCTGGTTAACCGTTTCCATCATCAGTAAGTCTCTAGCTACATCCACACTGATACATTTTCATTTAAACTTGGAGACTTTTTGAAACATTGGTGACGCTGTTTTGGTTGGTAAATTCCAAGGAAAACTTTCTGATTGGACCATCGCAAAGTTCATTTCCTGAGTCTCCTTTGACGTGGACATTTTTCATTGGAGAACACAGACATCAGCCTCGACTATCAGCAGTCCACTCAGCATGGATAATGAATTACAGCCATTACTTTGTAGTTTCTGCTTACCGATGATACTATTTCTGAAACAGTACTAAAACCGCTCAACTGGACAGAGATCATTTTTTCTTTAAATTGAAAATGTATTAGTGTGGAAGGAGCTTCTTGCGTTGCTGGTCTTCCTGCAGTTTTATATGAATTTATTTAACCACAAATGAAGATAAGATTAAGAATCTTTTACAACAGCATCCTACTTGAGGCAAGCAGCACCACAGGTAGACAGGTTACATGCATAAAATGGTTTATATCAGGTTTTAAAGGCTCATAAAATCACAGATATACACATCACAGATCAGTGATGAAGACCAAGCAGGGCCGGTTTCAGTCCCTGATACGCACATCTAAATATGTGTGATTCCAAGTTGTGTAAAGTTGTTTTAAGTTCATTTTGTGAGATTTTTAGCGTTTCTCCTCGATTCAGTCAAGCTCTGAAACAGGAATAAGTCTTGGGATCGAACTCAACAGCCTCTTGTACTTTTTGGCTGATACAGATCCGTAGATATGAAGGAAGCAGATCAAGGACAGTTTTACGAATGAGAACATGCCAGTGCTGAGTTTGGACGTGGACAGGACACACAATCTAACTCCAGTGTATAACACACTGAGGTAACAGGTTTAAGATTTGTAAAAACCTCATTGCTCCTGCATCCACTGCATGGAAGCCTGTACATGACTTCATCCAGCACAGGCATTTTGGTTTTAAGAGATAGACAAGACTCGATTCTGAAGTAAAAACCTAATTTTAGCTTTAGAATTATACAGGAAGTTGGTGAAATCTCGAGGGAAGCAAAACCAAACCGGCGACCTTAAGGCATCAGACAGCTGCATAAACCTGCTGAGGTGATGATGATTCTCACAATGAGAAGCTTTGATTTAATTTAATTTGACTATAAAAGTTCATATAATCATTTTAGTGTCACGAGTGATGGAAATTACGTCATCTGCACTTCTTGTACGAAAATGTACATGCGAGTCAAAATGTGCAGCTGTAATTTAGACACTGTATATGAGCAGACATGCTGAACACCATGATTCTATTAGTGTGTTGGGACCAGAACTGAGATTGAATATAACATCCAATGAAACAGGAGAAGAAAACTGAAACAGAAGAAAAAAAAATTGACATGCAACACCACAGACATGGTCCTTGAATTCAAAGTAGCTTTTAACTTTATGTAAAAGGATAATCATTTAGTGCTTTTATATTTCTAGTGACACAGTTAACAGCCAACTCTTGTATGTTCAGATCTAAAGTAACTTTAACAACATCAGTTCTGCAACCAGGGAACAAAAGTCTTCCGACTGTTTAAGTGACATTTACATCAAATTTGACCTGTGATTGTAAAAGTTCTTCTGAATTTGACCGCTGCTGCTGCTCAGATGACATTTACTGTAGATGAATTTATGTAGAAAGTTCTATTTTATTTGGCATGTAAAGGAGTTGTGTTGCTCTGTGCGACTGCGCAGTTTGAACTCTGTGGCAATAAAAGCTGACTGATCTACTGTTCAAGTATCTGCTCTCTTAATTCTGCTTTTCCTGCTGTATTACTTGTTAATGTGTGGGTTTCAGTCTCCACCTCCTCTGCCTCCAGTAGCTTCCCAAAAACATTCCAGTGTTATACCTCGTTTGATTGCTTTTGTTGACTTCTTGGTTTTGTTTTAATTTTGCTGTTGTCTGCTGGTCTTCCTGGCTGATTTCAACCCCTCTCACCAGATGCAGGTATAAAAATGCAGATATTGTTGCCAGACTTTCAGATGTTGAAGTTCGTCTGTCTGTTCTGGGTTTCGGACAGATTGCCACATGTGGTGAAGCTTTTGTTGCACTTGCAGAAGGCAAATGTTATCTCTTTACTTTGCTCACTGTCTGCAGATACAGTAGGACGACAGATTGGAAAAACCTACAATAAGCATTTCAGTAAGATGTTTACCACAGTGTACTGCCAGAACAGCTTCCATGTTCTTTACCATTCATTCTCCAAGACTCTGGAATTGTACTGGAGCGACAGAACACCGTTCTTACAAATTCCCTCGTTTGGTGTTTTGATTATGGAAATGAGAGCTTTGTCTAACGTGTCTGTCCAAAATCTTCCAAAGGTGTTCAGTTGGGTTTAGATCTGGTGACTGTGAAGGCCATATTATATGAATCATCATATTCACCAAGCTTCTGTATGATTGTCTTGTGTCCTGTGGATGGGAGCATCCTAGAAGAAACCACTTCCCATCAGGATAGAAATGTTTTCTCATGGGATAAAGGGATAAGGGGACCCACTGAACCCGAACCACATCGGCAAAATGTCCCCAAAAGTGCAACAAGGACACCAGGTCCCCTCACCGGAGGCTGAAGGTTTTCATTTGAAGGTATCACAGTTTGTGTTTTTGCTGTAAGATTTGGTTACTGTGCATTATTCTATACAAGTTGCAGGACTGTTGATCTTAGTTTTGTGATCAGTATTGCTTTGCTTCATTATTAGCATCTAGCAGTGCTAATCATTGTACCGAAATTATTAGGTAACCACAAACTTAGTTTATTAGAGTGAACATTTTCAGTGCAGGCTTTTTGATTCAGTACACAGTTTCCTGTATGAATGCAGCCACTACATGTGTAGGATGTGAAACAACAAACGGCATTTTCAGCGTTTTCTTGTCATAAATTTAAAGCATTGAAAAGAATTAGGAACAGCAGCCACATAGGGGAGTTTCAAATTCATGGAGTTTTGACATAAGGTAAATAATATCTTTTTGGCTCAGTGGTTAGCACTGTTGCCGGTTCACGTCCCGGTGGGGGCACTGGAATCTTTCTGGCATTTGCTCCCCGTGCAGCGTGGGTTCTCTCCGGGTTCTCCGGCTTCCTCCCACAAGTCCGAAAAAATGTTGAGGTTAATTGGTGATTCTAAATTGTCCATAGGTGTGAATGTGAGTGTGCTTGGTTGTCTGTCTCTAAGTGTAGCCCTGTGATAGACTGGTGACCTGTCCAGGGTGTCTCCTGCCTTCGCCCTAAGTCAGCTGGGATAGACTCCAGCCCCCCGCGACCCGAGTGAGGATTTAGCGGTGTATAGATGATGGGTGGATGGGAGATAATTTTTTTTTTTAATGGTTGACATGCTTAGTCATGTCCTAAAATGGTGCATTTGTTTGCAACTGTTTTCATTTATGGATTAATCTACTTTTGGTACCGAGTGTAAATCTGAATAAACAGCAGTAGTTGTGTTCATGGTAACAAAGGAACATGTCACACTGTGTCATAGTGTTGGTGATGTGGTTTTAGTAATGTGGACTAATAATAATGGACTACAGTAAGCTCTACTGAGAAATTAAATATCAGCCTCTGATACACAACGAGCACTGACTAGGAGATAAATAACAAAACACGCTGATACATTAGGATGTGGTGTCAATAACTGCTAAAGAAAAAGCTGAGCACAAGCTTTAGAAGAAAGTTTTTAATTTCAGACAAAAACCGCAAAGCACAAATCACAGCAAACTGAAGCACGTGACACAACACAATCTCTAATAAAGCCTCAGTGACGGCAGACAGTAAGTTTCTTTATCCCTGTTGTAAAAAATTGTTTCTTCAGTCTTTTCACTGTCTGTATCATCCCAAAACATGTCCACAATCACCTGAAGGTGGCTCATGTTTTTTTATAAATGAATATTTTTATAAATTAAAATTCAAGACAAAGCATTATATTAATTCTTAATTTTGGTAAGCAGTCATTGCTGGTTTGGTTTCATTGGATAATCGATTTATTTTTTTTGATGCAGTGTCATATGAAACACAAAAAAGTCACCTTAAACATCTTGACAAATCCTGTGTTCTTGATTTCTTCCTTTAAGACCATGTTTTCTTCAAATTTTAGAACATATCTGGTGCAATCAAAGAGTTTTGAAAAGTTTTGTGCTTGACATGTTTACATCAGAGGGCTTTCAGGGAGCATTAAAAGAGTCACAGGAGCACTGGGAGCAGTGCATCACTCATTGAAGAGACTACCTCAATTTGGATAGCAGCCAAATTTCAATGAAGCACAGTTTTTTGATTTGTACAAGTACATTCTTGGAATTTTTTTGGCATGTATTTTGTTAGAAACAGGTGTATTACTTTCACCCCACTGACATATTATTTTTGGAAAACAAGATTTTTGTTTTGAAATGTAAACTGCATGACTGGTTAAAATATAGATTTTTTAGCAGTCTTGCAGTTTGTGACTCGAAAGACTCTCAGGACAGTGTTTTGATTTATGCATCCATGGGTACGCAAGGAACTGCATGAAATACATTTTACCATCTTCCAAGCTGCACGAGACCCAGATGTTACAGATCTCAGCATGCAGTCCAAAATTTGTGTTCACGCAGTTGCTACGCTACAGTGCACGTGTGCAGAAAGCACAGACACTGATCTACTGCACATTTATGGAAGTGTCCTTCAAGCGAACTAGAAAGTAGTATAATGACTATCGCTTGTGGTGTCCACATCTGCAAAGGGAGTATAATCAAGGTGTTGCTCTTTTTAGTTAGAAATTTGCATGTCATTTCATGTCTTAGTGCTATCTTCAGCCTTCTTCATTTCTTTACATATTGCTTCCTTCACAGCATCCTTTCTTACCTGCTCCTTCTCTGATTGTACCTTTAAAAACTAATCGAGCCTCCATCTCAGAGGAGTTGTCCTGATTTTATTCAAGCCTGCAGTACTGATTTACTTATTTTTTATTGAAAAATAAAGTTCCTATTACATTCATTGCTGCTAAACAAATGTTCTGATGAAAGCGTTGAAATTGTATGTCTTTCTGCATCATCAGCATTTTAAAATGCACAATGACAAAGCCTGTAAAACTAAGCTGCAGCAAGAAATCTGAAGGATTAAAAATAAATCTGAACGAAAAGTGCTTTAGTGCTAAAACTTTTATTATTTGAGCAGTACAGCTGCTTGAAAAAGTCTTTATCCAGTAGTAAATGATTAAATGCTGGCATATGTAGGCATTTCAGTGTGTTGAATCATCAGAGTGAATATATCTCCACCTTTAAAGGAGGGGTATTTTCCTGCTTACAAACCATTTAATATTTTTCTTTATTTCTCTTCATGTCTTAAAATATCTTAGTTTCTCCATGTTGTTATTTGGTTTCAAGAAGTCTAGGGCAATAAACTGTTTGGACACACTGCAGAAAAAGTCTTATCAGGTTCATTCTGTTTTTGATCTACTGCTATTTGTTGTTGTTTTGATGCACTCTGAGTTACCGTAGCTGTTGGTACCACACCGCAAGCTCAATGGAGAAGCTAAAATTAAATCTTGGCACCAAATAGTCATTGCCCCAAGGTCCTGAAGTGGAAGCCACCTCCAGAGAGAGGTTACTTGCATAACTAAAAAACAGGATTTAACAAGAAGGATTTTTTTTGGAGTGTAACAACATGTGTATGGACTATTGTTTTTGCTGACATTGCCTCCTACCTCCTACCAGACTCTATTGTCTAACACCATCTTTTGAACAAATCAGATACCTTCCAAGGAAGGAAGAAACTAAGTATTGGTTTCATCACTTTCCACTGGTGCGACATCCCCTTCAGGGGCAGATGTGACGTGCTTGACTATTTCATCACATCACAGTGAAGAGTATCAGCTACACAACATGCACATCACTGTACTGACAAAAGTGGACATGGCTGCATCTCTTTAATACCCCTCCTTTAAAGTTTGCAGTTACAAATACACAGAGTTTGATCGGGCGTTTGTTGTGGATACTTTGTTGATAACTGTGTGACTGACTACAGCCTAATTTGGAGGAGGTGTGGTGGTGGTGCCATTCCAGCTGTAGGTTCCAGGAGTTGGGGGCGGCATGTTGAAAGATCGGGTAAAAGGCCATTCGCAGGAGTCGGGGTGCAGCAGAAACCCAGAGAATGTGCTGGTGTATTCTGTGTCAGTGTACATGCCGTTGTTTTCTGTGTCCTTGACCTGCATCCATACACGGTCTTCCATTGCAAGATGGAGGACAACCTTGTGGCTGATGGTGGATGGGTAGGTTCCTTCTGTCATTTTGGCTTTAGGATAGAAGTTGTGGAAAATGCCAACTTTAAGTGGCTTCTTGGCAACTGCAAGGTGGAAGCTGAAGACATAGGTACCGTTGACAGGGGCCGTGTAGATACCCATTGATGGGTCAAAGTGCCCCTGCTGGTTGGTGAGAACACGTGGGAAAGAAATTGGATAGTCAGGAGCGGGATATGACTCGTTGGTAGATGCTGAGAATGCCGACTGGATGACAGGGGAGCAGGGACCATGCGGTCCCGTGGCACCCGTGTCACCCTGGTTGCCTTTTGGCCCCATAAGTCCTTTCTCCCCCTTTGAACCAGTGTCACCTTTGGCCCCCATGTCACCTTTTTCTCCTGACATTCCATCAACACCGTCCGCCCCATCAGTGCACTCACACATTCCCTGCTCACCTTGATCCCCCTTCTGGCCATTCATACCAGGTTCCCCAGTTGTACCTAAGTCCCCCTTGTCACCCCTCATACCCTTGGGTCCCTCAGATCCCTTCATCCCAGGCAGGCCCTGGGCTCCACCTGGACCAGGTTGACCTTTTTCACCTTTTTCACCTGGGACACTTTGGCAGGCAGGGCAGGTGCCAGTTTCTCCTTGGGGGCCCTCTGCACCAGGGGGTCCCATAGATCCTAGGTCCCCTTTCTCCCCTGCAAGTACACACACAATATGCATGTTTGCATTATTTTTGACATACAATGCTTTCCCTCACATTTTTCTTCTTCACTTTTTTTTTTTTTTTTTTTTTGTATGAAGAACTGTTGTGGTAGTAGTTCAGGAAAAATCTTTTCAGACTAATCTGGTCACATCTATTTCATTTTAAAAAGCTGGCATATATTTAACAAATCTAAATCAGTTCCTTGTAACATCTCTGAGCATTTGCGTTGAAACAATGGCATACTTCAAAGAATCTTGGCAACTCCCTCCCTGTAAATATCAATGTTTTTGATGGGCTTTGGAATTGAGACATTTTATTTAAAAGAAAAATGAAAAAAAAAAAAAGAAGAAGAAGAAGAAGTAAAATCCAGATTACCGTAGACCTTCTCACTAAGCTTTGTTACTGGGTATGGACTCTGATATTGAAAGTGAAAGCAAATTTACAGATGGTGTGTTTATCAATATGCATGTGAGAAAGAGACAGAAAGAATAACAGTTTGGTAAGCAGCTTTAAACATCAGGGAGACTTTGTTTTTACGGTCTTGTGAAGCCATCAGGCATTGTATTTATTTTTGAAAAGCCAGCAGAATCCCTTTATTTTAATAGAGTAGTGTCCCTCAACACTTCCTGTTAACTTTTTCGGCTAAATAGGGGCTTTGCTTTTGAAAAGCCCACATACATGATTTGTGAGCTGTGCTAATTTGCTTTGATGCTACTGTTAGATATGTCCTGCTAATCGAGACACAATAACTGTACCGACTTCCAAGACCTCGAGTCACTTAGGGACTGAGGTTGGGCCTGTCTGAGGTGCTAAACAAAAGAATTCACTGGGATTTACATGAATTAATTTAGCCTTTTATTAAAGAAAAAAAAGAGATAATCAGCTCATGATAATGCGTGCACATGCATAATCAAAGTAATCAAAGCAAGCAACTGAAAATAGCGATCAACAAAAAATATGGCGACCAAGTTCACACCCCTCTCTCCCTCAGACAATGAAAAGGTGAACAGGTGAGTATATTGGCTTAAATCCCCGCCCATATCCATGTGACCCGCTATCCCTCAATTCAATGTGTTCACAAAAAAATATCATAACTAAAACAATCATTAACAATAATCAATATGCCCCTTAACCTTATTTTAAAAAATAACAGTTTACTCGTGGCTTCAACAATAGCATTATACATAGTCCATGGAGGTAGCCATGTTTGATGCTAAACTGAGAAAGAAGGATTCATAACACTTAAACAGTACAAACAGTTATAGATATCAAAACACCGATTCAGACAAACACAATTTAAAATCTTGTGATCCATTTAAACTTTGAATGAAGTTTCTACTATGAAATATGCCAGAGTAACAGCGTTCCAAAGATAGCTGTTTTTGACAGTTGTCTGGCCAACTACCTGATCATTTCAGAGAATTTTGAATGCTTTTTTTGTTTGTTTGTTGGGGTTTTTTTTTTTTAGGAATTTCCTAAAAACCAAACTACAAATCACTACCAAAAGACATTGCACACAATTCCCAATCAACCCGCACGTTCTGATTTATAATTGGTAGTGGTTTTGTCAAAGCTGCAGGAGAACATTGGTGATGAAAATCATGCAGATAGAACCTATAAGAATAAGTCATACATTGGCACAAAATCCCAATATAAATAAAAACTTGAAAAAATCTGTTCTAAAATCTAAATGATTTGGGTCTGTTTTTTTATGTTTAACATGTAAATAAATATTTTTTTAGTAATTATACTAGAACAAAACTGTAAACTAACAGTAAATTATTTTTTTTTTAAATTTACAGTTAAATATGTTTTTAAAAAATAGATTTTTTTTAACACAATTCTTTCCTGACCTTTAACAAGTACTTATTTTAAATAAGTACTTTTTACTCATATAAAAAGCAAATACCACAATATTTTTCTTCATAAAGTTATTTCTGTAAACAAACCCAACCAAACCTTAACTGCAAAGTTTTCAAAACATAAAGCTGTTTTTACTTCTTCAATAATGATATGTTCTTGGAGGGCATGATTATCCCTATTCAGGACTCTTATGTTGCCATACGTAGAAGGTCTTTCAGGGTCCACTGGACCCCAAGAAAGAATATGTGCAAAATATTTTTTGGTATTCATTATAGACTTTTATACTATGTTAAATAACTTTTCGGTTAAATTAACCAAGGACTTGACTTGGACGATCTCACTTTCTTTTAGTCATTATCAAGAGCATCCCTTTAATTTAACTAATTATCATTGGATCCAGGACGTATCCATAAGTAGTTATGTTATCTCAAACCCCATAATATTTTCTTTAAGTAAGCTGGTTCCATGTAGCACTAATAACCCTTCCAACAGAGGATCTTTTATATAGAGTGATATCAGCAGACCTTTGAATCCTCGCTGGCCCTTTGTCCCGGTGAAACCAGTGATGCCACTCATTCCCTTAGCCCCCATTTCTCCCTTCATACCTGTAACAAAAGACAGAAATAATGGAAAAAATGAAAACAAGATTAAAAGCACGAGGACGTAACCTGCATGAAGACATACTAAATTGATGTTTTGTTAAGTGAATACACAAACAACAACAATTCCATTGGCCCACTTTGAACGCAGCAGCAGAATGAAACTTGGTTAGGGTCTAAAGTTTGCTCGAGTTCCTGGACAGACTGACGCTAAAAACTTTAAGTAAGCTGTATGTTAGATTTGAATTTTTATTTATCCTTGGAGTGGTGCCCTCACAACTCTATGGTTGACACTCTTCCTACCTGGCTATGACTCTGAACTCAGATAATCTGACTCACCTGATTTGGGATGCAGGTATAAGCCATTGGCCGCTCATTTGAGGTGGTTTTATTCTTGCTTTCTGCTAACTGCGTGTTCAAATCAAATTTTGTCATAGGTTTGGAGTGTGTAAAAACTGCCACAGCAGTACTGAGGTTTTGTCATGTTTGTTGTTGTCACCAGTGCAGTGATTTAGAGTCCTGGATTTGTAACTCACCCTTCATCCCTTCAGGGCCTGTGAATCCTTGTTGACCTTTATATCCCATCAATCCTCTTTTCCCAGGACTCCCAGGTTTACCTGAACAAATGTTACAGTCAGACCAGTTTTCTACACAACCTTTTGGAAACATTCTCAGACTTTGTTTTGCAAATGAAGCCTAAAGCCTAAAAGGGAAATCAAACTACTAACCCTGCTAGTGTACCTTATTTCACAGACTCTTTGTTTGATGTATGACGTGGTTTTCAAGCTCTTTCCTGTCATGACCTCATTTGGAAGCCACAAATCCTTGTTCCTCACGTCACCCAATTTACACTGATTGACACGATTAACAAACATAGCAGGGATTTCCCAACCAAGTCATTTATTCTTTAGTATCCACCAAGATGCAATCCAAAACAATTTTCCTACATAAATACACACAAGTATTGCAAAATAGGTGTAGTGCCCGGTTGCACCACCAGGCGGAGGCAGGCCTGTCAGTGCTGACAAGCAGACAGCATTATGGTGTTTGGGCTTGTAAAGAAGCACCATGACCAAGTCTTCTGTGAGGATAAGTGTGGACATATCAAATTATGTTAGGATCAGTTAAGATGTTGTTCTTATATCCCAGTGGCAAATATAACAGCTGCTCATGGTGAATTTCTATATTTAAATAATTGCTGAGCATTGTTGTTGCACATATTCAGTAGATTGTTCAAGTTTATAACATGTGTGACAGCGGACATAAGCAAAAGATGGGACTTAGATTCTTACTGACAGCAATCAATTAAGAATTGCCTTGATTGGCCTCGATCCCTACACCAAGACACAAGTGGGTTATTTTAGCTGATGTGCATACCTGGAAGGCCCCGGGCTCCACGGTCTCCTTTTGGCCCAACTTTGTTTTTGCAGTATGAACAGATGCAGGAAGGTGGAATATGTCCTATTTGAAATCTGTCACAATCCCAGGGCTGGGGCAGTTCTATGAAATCATTGGTCAAGTTGCCGCTGCGCAGCAAAGGGTTTATGGGCCTTTCTGTCATCATCTTGGTTGCACTATCAGTGGTTGGGAATTCGGCGGGCATTTCCTTCATCATCTCGGTGGTGCCGCTGACGGTGGGGGACTCGGTGGGCATTTCCTTCATCATCTCGGTGGCGCCGTTGACGGTGGGGGAGTC